AATTCCATTGGACTAAGATTGTCATACATCATTTCGAAGAACGATAAATATTCTTTGGGATGGTATATGAATTGTTTAACTGGCTGGACCGATAGTTGCAAAGAAAACCACAATCCAGGCTGAATTTACAGTAAAATCGTAAAATTTCATTTTCTGGATAGAACCTTTCATAAGTTAATGAAAATTGAAAATAATTGAATAAATCAGTGGTCAATTCGTAGGCGATTTGATATATTTTCACCTAGGTATGGGATATCCTCACATATTCCAATAGAAACCAAGCAAATCTTTCTATTTAGGAGGAAAAACACGGAATTTTTTAAATGGAAATAATCTGCAATAATACAATGAAAATTGGAGTAAATGACATTTATCATACACCATTTTAAAGAATATAAAATGCCCTTCAAAATTATGTATGGATATTCCCATCCAGTCCGCATAGAAGTACCAAAATCCCCAACCGAAATGAATTTTTGGAGTAAACCATAAAAATTCAATTTTCGTGTAAAAATTCTCAAAAGTCGATGAAAAATGGAGATAATTGGATAAATCAAGGATCAATTCCAAGATAATTTGATATATTTTGACCCAAGAATGAGATATCTTCCCAGATTCCAACACAAATCAAGCAAATATTGCTAGTTAAGAGGAAAAACACGGAATTTTCAGAGTGTGACATGCTAAAATCGCTGCATTATCGGTTACAGCAATTAACCGAGGTGATGGGGTAGATATAGTATCTAAATTTGAAGATCTCGATGAGACCTTCAAAGTGACATATGATAAATCTCCGTTGGTCAAGTCTACCCACGTAGGAATTTGACCGAGGATTCAGCCGCAACTCGGGTACTCAAAACTCAACCTCGGCTTGACGCTGTACCCGAGTTCACGGCGCGTCACGCCGCTCCATACCGGTTTGGAGCGCAACGCTAAGACGGCACACCCCGCTACCTGAGGTTGAGCAGTGGCTGAACGCTCGAAACTCAGCTCCGACTCAGTCGTCTCGTTTCGAGCGGAGGGTGGAGCAAAATCGAATTAGATCATTCCCCAGAATAATCTTAAAGGTTTCTAGGAATTTTCCTTCCCGGAAAAAATCTCGCAAAAAAAATCCCCATTGCCCCAAATAAAAATACAGAAAAATCGAAACAAGTCCATTTGACGTGCCTTCATTCTTCAAAGAAAAAAAACACAGAAATACCTTTTGTGAATCACTCAAGAATATCATTTTTGAATAGTCTTGATACAACTGATTCAATTGATTTTTAACGTCTCATTAATAACACAAAAATCTTTTCATTAAAAATATTTTGTTCAATGAAAATATGAGATGATTCAAATTTCAGTTCAACTCCACGTATGAAAAAATTTAATAGAAAACCCTAGCGAATTCGCTAGAAAATTCTATTGGATTTCTATTGAATTTTCTATATGTTCACTTGGTGATCCTGACATGTTTGTGGCATCAATGCTTCATCTGTGATAAATTTTGGATGAAAAATATTTTTGAACAAATTCCATCGTGTTCCTTTTCCTTTATTTAAGCATACACTTTTCAAAAATTTTGCTGAAATTTTCGTTACTCTTCCAGGATTTTTTTTCCATCATATTTCAGTTCCATTGAAATTCCAAGGAATTTCGTCGTTCAAAATTCATAATATAATGAAAAAATCATTGCGAACTGTAAATTTCAGTTCAATTATTACCTGAAAATTAATATAAATTGGGAAAAATCCAGTAAACATATTTTTTAATATTCAATTCGTGGAAAAACCAACGTAATTTGTCACTCAATATTCATGTTTTTATGGAACATTCAAATATATTAAGGAATACTCGTCTTAATGCTGCTAAAAAATTTGGAATGTCATTGGATTTTTAGTGATATATGAAAGTTTATGATTTTTCATCTTTAAATTGTATTCAATATTACCCTCTTGTAATTACTGATTTACTCTCCATGAATTTTTAGTTTTTTTTTTCAAACAGTGAACGTGTGTCTGACGATTCAAACATGAAAGTATAACTTTATAACAAAGAAGGTTTGTTCTCATTTTTCCAGTGACTATTTCTCTAGATGTTGCGAGTTGTGTTGAAAAAAAAGAAGAAATTCTTTATTACGTTTTTGTGAGTTATTTTACATCGTATTTCAAATTAATACCACTGGACTGATTTATACCACTTCAGCTTTTGCTGCGCTTGTGATTACGTTTACTTGAAAATCCATGTCCGGTGGCCATTCAACTATAGGCTATCCAGTAGAAGTTTATCCTTCCGAGGGTACCCCCGCTCGACGTAATTCCCACTCACATGCTTGGACCCCACTCCAAAAATCCACGGATATTTTTCTGGAAGATAACCTATAAGGCCCAGGGAAGCTTCCCGAGGGCTAGTGTAATGGAGGCTGAAAGCGCATGACGCGGCTCAAATTCGGGTAGGCGTGTAGCTTGCCCGAGCCGGGGTGGAGCGGCGTATTTCTAGCTGGGATACTGTTTCTTACCAGAGCTCGAGCGGCGCGATTCCTACACGGCTAAGGCCTCGATAAATAGTAAAAACTGTCATTTTTGAGGTGTGACATAACGGAAAAAATGGAAACAATCCGCAATAACTCGATGACAATTGGAGCAAATGACATTTATCACACATCATTTTGAAGGGCATTTTATGAATATTCAAAAAATATGATTGTATGAATATTCCCGTCTAGTCTACTTAGAAGTACCGAAAAATCCATCCAAAGTTAATTTTTCAAGTAAACCATAAAAATTCATTTTTTGCCTAAAACTCTTGTAAGTCAATGTAAATTTGGATGAATCAGGTGTCAATTTGAAGCTTATTTAATAAGCTTTCGAATGAGTCTACCATGTGTATGCTACGTCGAAGAGGAAGCCGCGAATTGATGCAAAAAGCAATGGGTAACCTTCAGTTACGGACACGGATTTTTCCTCGCACTTGTGCCCAAAAACAACCACATTACCTCCACTACCGTTCCGAACAGTGAACTCGGCAGTGAAACTTTACGCACTAGTAATACAATATAGTATTAGGGTTCCAATTTTTCGCATGGGTGAAATTCTCGTTTGATCACAAGGGTCGAATAATCATGAATCAAGTGAAATAATCCAGTCTCTTCCGTCTTACTTTATGAAGGTGAAATATCGCCACGGTCGCACTTTGCAAGGATCATAACTTGCAAGGACAAAAAGATCACAAGAGTGATATAACAAGGATCAATCGGAAGAAGCAGGCAGCACAATCACAAAGACGAAAATCGGACGAATGCAAAACGTGTGAAATAATCAGAAGTCCCTACAGTTTGACCTTTGTGATCATTTGACTCTTGAGATTGTCGTGCAGGCTTATTTCATCCATTTGAAGTGGATGATTGTACTGCCTGCCTGGTACGGTTGACCCTTATAGTCGTTTAACCCTTGAGATTGTCTTGCCTGCTTTTGTTTGACTTTTATGATCATCTGACCCTCCCGAGTCATGATTCTTACGACGTTTGACCTTCGCGAGTCATGATTCTCATGACGTTTGAGCCTAGCGTGAAATCACCCTGGCGATCCACGATCCTGTGACGTTTGACTATCGCACTTCAATTCTTGATGCCTTGCCTCTAAGCCTCAAAGATTCTTTGACCCTCAAGAACGGTTGTTCATTCTGATTACTCAACCCCACTCTCCCCTGGGACCCTTGTAACCCTCGTGTCCCTACTCATTACTGGGTCAGTCTCTTTCGTTGAATTCCAAAAGCACTTGATCCTTGAGACCATCCTCCTCCTTCACCACTTGACCAGTACTCCATACCCAGAAAAGTCGAAAGTCGCCGGCCCTGGGGATATTTATACTGGGTTCGAGTATTGGAGTTGCGCTTGTGGCAAAGGTCAAGAATGTGGTCCAGATTATTTATTGCAAAATCGAATATTAATGGGTCAAATCTGTCTAGGATACCCTCGCAAAGGAGGGAGTTTGATGGGTTGTGGAGGGGGTTGTCGGAATGACGAATTTTCGTCATTTTGCGGAGCGTCGTTCTTTTGGAAATGCTGATGATTTGTTGTGTTCCAGACTTAGCAAATAGGAGAAGGGGATGGACATAGTCCAGTATTGGTCAGCATATAGTCTTATAAATTTGAACATGTTTAATAATGAGACCTTTGTTTTTGTAAGTAAGGCTTCGAAACGTGGAACCTCTGGCAATGCATTTTTTCTTTACAATACTGGCATGAGCACTGAAGTTGAGATTGTAGTCAACCTCAACTCGTAGGTATCTGGTGTGAGGGGATGGGAGGATTTGGGTGTTTTAGAGAGTGATATGGGAGTTGGATATTTGTGAGTTTAGATAAAATTGAAGGTATTGGGATTTGGACGTGTTGAGGTTTAGTCGTCATTTGTCAAACCATGCTTGTATTACATCTGCGAGGTCTTCGACTTTTCTAGTTGCTGCGTCCCAAGTTTTTCCATGCGCGATGAGCGCAGTGTCATCTGTGAATTGATCCCGGTATTTAAGGGGGTTGAGGTTTTGGAAAGGGTTGGGAAGGATGTCGAAGCAGAAGATGTTGTACAGTAATGGGGAGAAGAGGGAACCTTGAGGGACACCTTATTGGGGTGGAATTCTTGAGATTGGGTGCTTTTTATTTTTATGGACAGTCTCCTGTTAAATAGGAATTGTTGTATGTATAATTTTGATGAAATATGTGGGGGTGTTTAATTCATTTGTTTTGAAGAGTAGACCTTTGTGCCGAATACTGTCAAAGGCTTTCTAAACGTCTAGGAGCAGAGGTTGGTTTAATGTTGTGTTTGGCGGTCTGGATATTCGATGTTAGCATTGTGAGAGGGTAGAGAGTAGATTTTTTTTCTCTAAAGCCAAATTCGAAAATTGGGATGTTGTTAGTGGTGACGGAATTTAGTCTTTCTTTTATGATTTTTCCAAACATTTTGCTCAGAGAAGGGAGGACTCTCATACTGTTTGTAATTCTCAATTGATGACTGGACATTCAGGTACAAACGCAGTCCGTTGTTACCAATGCAGTAGTGACGCAGACGCTGATGGTGAAGATCTCTGTGGCGCCTACCGAAGATTCGACAAGACTAAAAACATAGCAATTGACTGTAATGACGAGGACTCCCACATGCCCGGCACATTTTGCGTCAAGGAGGTTCGCCAGGGTCTCCGTGGCTACGTTTGTAAGTATATTCAATACAAAAATATGCTCAAAACACCTGTTCCCATATTCCACTGACACCGACATTGCGGAAAGTAAATAAAAATTGAATTGAAAATTCTTTTTGTGCAGGGGATGGACGTTGGCGTCAAGTAATACGCAGATGTGCATCAGTAGCTAGTACTGGGGTAACCGGAGTATGCAATTGGGGAGTTTATGACAACGGTGTATATTGGGAGGAATGCTACTGCTCCGACGACTCGTGCAATGCTGCCGCAATAATTTCATCAAATTTTATTCTGCTAGTTTTATTGTTCGTTCTACCATCGATATACATGTTCACGTAGGAGATTGAATAAGAATTCCATCGTTGAATATATTCCAAAAAGAAGAGAAGGGGGAGAAGGATGAGTGGATGGAGAGAAGAATACGGGAGTTATTTCCCAATAATTGATACGATTTTCCGTGAGAAATAATTGAACATTTGATTTCTGCTAAACTTCTCCCCGGCATACACTGAGAAAAATAGTTGTTTGAGAAGTACGTCTCTACTTGTATGAAGAAACTCATTGCTTGAAAATCACCAAGAAAAGAATATCTTACACTAAGGAAAAAAAACTTTTGTTAAGAGATTTTGTGCTTGGCCGAAAAATAAGGAGAAATTGGTCCACAACAATAAAGCGAATCACCGAAACACGGCAAGTGGTTTTTGCATGAGAATATTTTGTATTTGAGACTAAAAAACTATTGTGTAAATTGATTAAACAAGCCTTGCTTTTAGAAATCACTTTCTTGACAAGTTTTTTCTCAGTATAAGATATTTTTTTGTTAACAATGTTTGAACCCTGAATTTCGTGATACAAATAAAGACGTACTTCTGAAAAAACTTTTTCAGTGTAACGGTTATCAATTCGGTTTAATTGAAGTTATTTTTCTTTCTTTTGAAATCACTCCATTTGGGAAATTATGCGCCTTGCAGCGCTTCACTCTCCCGTCACGCGGATCGATCTATGAAGTCTGGAAATGAAAATTGTTCTATTTCATATATTTCAAGTAATTTTTTAAAAATCAAAGTTCCCTTTTCTAGGCCTCCTACACACTTCAAAATTATATATCATATTTTTAGAGTTTTTCTAGAGCTTAAACAATGTTATTGCAAACAACTTTTTAAATGTAGATTAATTGCATGAAGACTTCTTGATTCCCATAGAAACTTATTTCCTGTAACTCGACCGCTCGGAGACTCCGTACTAAAAAGCGAGTTGCGTTCATCCTAGGCGGGAAGCATGATTCACTCTTTGATCAGCATCATTTAATTCAATTTTTTTCAAGGAATGTTAAATTATTATAATGGTTGACATTCATAAAACCTCAACTCAAGTTTAACTCTTAAACTTGATCATTAGATCCGTCAGCATGAATACAATGCCTCCCAACGGCGTTAAACAATGCTAAATATTATTGAAAACGTTGGAAACTTCTAAAGTAACTTCAAGAATCATTTAATTTCTTTATTTTATTCATTCAACATTAATATCACCAAAAACTCCAGTATTCTTCTCCCGCCAGCGAAGAAAAAAATCTATGGTGGGAAGCTACCAAGAATTGAAATATAACAATTGAAGTATAAGAGTCTTGGTGTGTCCTCATTGTTCAAAGAACAATTGTTCTCATTGTTCGAAGAATAATGAGAAGGGGAGATTGAACTCATGAAATATCTGAAGAGTAACGATGCAATACAGACAGAGATTTGAAGGGGTCCCCTCAGTAGGGCAAAACGGCGATGGGCGTGCGGGTGAGTGGATCGTAAAATGGTTAAATTAGTGAAATTATTTTCGAGAGAGATGAAATATCAAACATGGCGTACGTTGAATAGTGAGACATCACGCCTATTATTTTTATCGTTAATTTATTTAACAAATTAGCCGCAAAACTCGATGAGACTGCATTCCCTTATTTTTGAGAGTTTAATATAGATAATTATAGCTTCCTTTGTTGTCTAGCACATTGTCGTTTTGTAGCGAAAATTACTGAGAAAAGACCCCTTAAAGCTTCGCCCGAATAGTTAAATGCATGGAGACGGAGCTTTAAGGGCCAGTTTTTGGTTAACTTAACCAGCGTTAAAACCTCGATTAAAGTGAAGGCTAAGATCTCTGATTGGTTGAACTCGGTGGTGGGGGGGCTCTTAATCGTGGTTAACTTAACCAGCGTTAAAACCTCGGTTAAAGTGAAGATTAAGATCTCTGATTGGTTGAACTCTGTGGTGGGGGGGCTTTTAACCGTGGTTAACTTAACCAAAAAACTGGCCCTGAGACAGTTTCAAATCCTTTTCCCTTCGGTCATCTTTTACATTCAATGGAATCATCTTTTACAACCCCGCGATCAAATGTATATAATTAAATCCAAGTACTAGGTTAAATTAAGTATTTTTTCAATGAAACCGTCCATTTTTATAGACTTTGTTTTAAGGAGAAATTTTGATAACGATCTATTATTGTACTCTTTTCGTAAACGTTTTTATGATTTTCGGGCAAATGGTAAAGAAAGAGATCCCTTTAAACTTTCGAATTGAATGTAAGACAAACAAATGACTTTTTCTTTAGTTCGTAAAATTGTTGATAGAAGAGGTCTTTTGAAGTTTATTGAACCCAGTGGTTTCAGAGATATTGTAGGAGTGAGAGATCAATTCAATAAGAGTAGTTTGCTACATAGATCCAGAAACCCAGTACAGATTAATTCTCAAATATCGGCAAAACTAGTGGGTTTATAGAGAAACGTCAAATGACCTTATTTGTAGTTGACAATATGCTCTACGAGAAAAATTTTCTAATAAATCTCCTAAACCCGTTTTTCTTCGAGATAGCGATCCTTTGACCATTTCTCTAACAGAATAATTGATTGATCCACTCGTTAGGGATCATTTATTATTTGGAATGCTGAAATATTAGTGATTTCATGCAGCTTCCGCCGAATCCCATTTTTTAACTATTGAGTAACAAATGTTAAGTACATAAGTTAGTACAAATATAGTAATACTGCAGTATAAAAGATTTAACTGCCTTGAGTGCAAACTTCATTACAATTTTATAAATGAAAGTGGAATAAATTTTTACAAATAACACGTTGTTTGTACAATATTAATTGATAGATTTCTGGCAATTGCAGATATTTAATCTGAAACTATTCAGGTTGAAATTGTAAATTCATGGACCCACTGATCTCTCCTAGTCCTCATAACGTAGATCATATTGATTCTATATGTTCAGCGGTGACAAGTTAAGGAACTTCCGCAATAAGTATATGGGAGTAGAAGAAAATGGACTGCAGAGCTGAAATTTTGAGAATATATGTATCATCAACACAGAGTCTTATGGCACCACTTCTTAAAAAGTCAGAAAAATATGGTCAACAATGGAATAAAAATCCAATCGCTTCACAAATAGAACCGTATATATTTCGGGAACATATTCCCACAATTTCATCATCTGTCACCACAGAGATTATTTGGCATTCTTAAAAATGTACGGTGTAGTCATGAAGAATAGAGACTTTGTTTCAACATTTCCATTTATTACATATATTATATGTTCTAAATTATACAATTACGCAAGAAAAATCAATGCATTGGGCTCGCCAAATAATAAAACGCCCCCTAAGCTCTAAGGGCTTGAGGTCACAGCCCCAAAATGACAAGCTTCAGAGTACTACAAACTTACGAATAAAAAACTTCCTATCATCTGGATTTCTTATTTTCAGATTTAACAATGAAATTAAAATGTAATTTCACCTTCGGTCGACACTTCTGATCAGGCGATATAATATTTTCGTACAATTTTTTACAGCAGAATTTCTTCAACAAACATTAGCAATATGTCGAAAAATCATCGACTACATCGATATAATTATAATTGTGCGATTTATGTCTATTTTCTTTTTATAACCGCGCCGATGTAGTCATATCAATTACTAATGCGGCATATTTAGAAATTGTAATAATAAAACAAAAAACTATTATATTGACTCTTGAAGCCAGTGATATACCGCAGCCACGAATAAATATCATACTGAACATTTGAATACAAAATAGTTAGGCAGCGGAATTAATTAATGCCTCCAATCAAGAATTACTTCAATGTACTCTTGAAGATATGACTACTCTTGATGAACTAATATCTTCTTACTTGTATTTACGGTAAAAAATTGATAACTGTAACGTCATTAACTGTAGTCTGAGTATACCGGCGGAATTACAACAGTATTTGACGATTTTATGTGATTAAAAATGATAACGGATATGGATTGTAGCCAAGAAAATAATCCGAAGAATAATATATCTACCTATGAATTTTTTCGACGAAAATTCCTTTAGTCTTCAGCCCTTGGATTACTTTAACGGGAATTAGAACTTGTAAGAACCTTTGCATTGATCTCCTCGTAGGAATGGAACTAGCAGAATCCATGAAATTGTATTATTGAGCATGACGCTGAAAAATCAATAATGGTAGGTATATAACTCCCGTATAATTATACTATCGTACAACATGTATTCAACTATTCCAATCCAAGAGCCTATTCTTTAATGTAATTTTTAGTTTGAGATTGTTCGAATCAGGCGCCTAAAAATACTGCGGATTTTCGGCTTGGGTACAGTCATCCCAAAAACAAATTCCAAGGCGCGTGGTAAATCTCCGAAACGTAAAGTCACTGAGTGGTAAAAATATCCGAATATTGTATAGTAAGTGTTGATTGTGCCAAGGCATTTGAATTGGATGAACACTATAGTGGATGAATGGTGAATTGCACAGGGGAGAGGGAAAATGGGTTTCCAAAGGAATAAGAATATGAAAATAACTGTTTGGTTTTTCAGATGAACTGACGAATAGACCGTTCCATAAAATCCCCGACAAGCAGATATCTTGGAGAGTGTAGACATGGAGCTGATTATTGTAAGAGTTTATCATTATTGGACTTTCGAAAAACATGTGAATTGATTTCCTACTGTAAAGACGAAAAAAGATGCAATAAAATCCACGAATGAAAATACAGGAGCAATTAATTTATTACGCAATGACCTATTATCTGCTCAGCACATT